TAACTTGGGAAAATGCAAGGATGCCAACAAAATAATTGGGCAAATTCTTTAAGCGAACTAGGAAAGGAACACTAAGAAAATCTGGTAGGAGTGAGGCTATATCCTCATACAAAAATTTAGCGCAATCAGCTGTGAGAGGCGTCGCCAACTGAATCGTGATAATCGATATTGGTCTGGAGTCGCTGTTGAAGCATTTCGTCCTGTAGACATTATTTCGTCCGATAGTGCTTATCAAAACCACGATTCACATTAGAATTTCATTACTTTTGCAGCTTTGGAAGGAAAGAAAGAAGGACCACAGACCTAATAGAATAGGTGCGTATGATAGAGACAGGCAAAGGGCGTATAGATAATTTTTCCTCTTCCTAAATCCTACATACTCACACTGGCACAAATAATGCCCTTTTCCATTGAACTTCTTAATGCTAATTGACGAATCTGGCCGCATTTTACATCAAGTTGTCAAGAAAATGATTCCGAAATTGCATAATTGTGATTAGATAATGTACGGACTTTGTTTTGCAAACGTGTATTCAGTGTAGAATACTATTTTGAAGCGCCCTAGCTTACATTGCATTAACATCATTACGGCCAATCCACGACAGAATTCTAAGAGGTATAATTCTAAACGAAAAAGGCGAATTTGAGCAAATATTTTGTTTCAAATTAAAGCTATTATGCCAGAGAAGGTTTCAATCATGGCAATCCATTCGCTCCTTCAATCGCTAACGAACGCGCTATACAGTGACGCCAAAATGTATTGGCAAGTGACATCTCACCCTTTCAATTACACTTTTTACTGGACAGTATTTTTTCTCTTTTTCACGTTCTGTTTACATGACCTACAAGGAATTCTTACGCTGAACTTGTAGAATGTTGGAAGTCTGTTCATTGTTTATATACGATGTTTAGCTGGACACTTCCCCTGAATTTGAAATGGTCGCCTACACTATTTGTGCTCTCACTGGAGGAGAGGTATTAAGACTTTTTATCAAATGCTAAATTGTAGAAGCAACTAGAAATAACAAATTGAGTGATGCATCCTTTTCAAAAAATTTCACTGTATTTACTAAGTTGTTTATTTGAGTGCAAGTTCCACTTGAATGGCGAAGAAGTGATCATCAAAGCTCAGACAACATCTTTAGGTGACAGCATTGTGGTGCGTTTATTCCGCA